GGGGGGGGGTGTAAATCTGAATCATTTCACCAGCAGCTTTCTTAAGCTTCCTCTTGGCCCATCAGTTTTGTCTGATGTGGCTGTCAAACTGCTCTTTATAGTTCTGTGGTATTATAACTATATAATTGTAGATGTGAATTCTCCAGCTGCTCAGCTTATCCATCTTTATAGACACACGACTGTCCCCATCACGTGGGTTCTTTTATCCCCACACAGCGTCCTGATAAAACAACAAATTGCATTCGTTTCAGATCTCTCGTTTAGTTTGGATATTACTCTTTCCAAAGTGGCAGCAATCTTATGACTGACGTTACCTTTAACTTCTCTTTCCTATTGTTGGAAAGAGAACCAAAACTGAAATATGTGTGCAAAGAGGAAGAAGAAAGGAAGTGGTATCAGATATGATCAACTATCATTATTACACAGGAGTTTTACACCTTTGCAACCTGACATTGTTCTTATTAGCTATTGTGCTTTAGGGCAGTTTTTTAAAGGTTAAAACCGTGCTTTCAGATGTATAGATAATTACAACATTTTCCACACATATAAATGATTTTGTGTGTGTTATTGGCAGAAGTGTTTAAAGCCAACATAAACACAGTTACAACTGAAGTCTAAAGAAAAAAAATCCTTGTTTGCATCAGTCTTCTTTTTGTCTCTTCAAAGTGAATCAGATGGTTTGGAGACTGCTGGAGTCCACCCTTTGTCTCCTCACACTCTACCCTCTGCAGGTCTGCTCTGAGACGTCCCCTTTAAACACTCGCTGATCACTGACACATTCAGTTGCCGTGAATCTTCCAGTGGCTCAGCATTCTTGGGTTCCTTGTTGTCCATTTTGCACTCTCTCCACGGGTGAGTTTGATTGCCTTTAAGACATTAAAATCAAGGACTTTATTTTTTTCAAAAATAGGTGTAATATTTATATGTAACTAAAACTTCTTTATTAACTCTAAATATTCAAAGCTGGAGATGCAGAATAAATGCAGGGGGGAGATGAAGGTTTTTCATCATGTCAAACGAAGCAGAGGGCTGTACTTAAAACTGAAAACCCGTTTTAGTTTTGATATTAACAGTCACGGTAACCTGATTGAAACTTACAAACTGAACTGCTTATGTAATAGGTCCAGTTATTAAATACAGTTTAAAGTATCATTAACATTTTATGATGACGTGTATTTCAACACACACACTTGTTGTGTTGATATTTTCTTATTCTATTGCTTATTGTTTATAACTATTTATGAATAAATAGGCAACCGTAGTGGAAACAGATGTTTCCATGGGAACTTGTGTTATGGAAACATCTGTTTCCATAACTAAACATCTGATCAAAATAATATACACTGATACTGATCATGAGCCTTTAACAATCATAGCATTCAAGTTTACAGTAAGCATGCTTGTGCAGGTATTAAGTGATTTATGAGTTAACATTGTAATAGATTATTTATATGTGCAGGTTTGGTCAAACACACTTTCTCATACACAGCAAAATGTTTCTGTTTAGTGTTTTTATTTAAGTAAAGTAATGGGCACAAGTAAGTGTTTTTGCAGCAGGTTCCTAGTAACAAACTGCTTAAAGATACAATTTAAGATTGTTTTTGTGATGGTCTGTTATGTGTAGACGGTTCATATCTTGTGTCTTTTTATGTGTAAATGATTCATCACTCAGTGTAAACTTTCCTCTGAAAATAGCGATGCACAAAGCCTCGACTGAAAGTGAGTGAAAAGACATCCGATGTCCAGCGACTCTGAAGGATCTTCAGAAAGCTTGCACATCACTGCTGATGAACACTTTTTAAAAACAATTTCAAACCATGACTCTTTGAAAGCAACATTTAAAAAAATTAGGGCTGGATCAAGACTTTTGCACAGGACTGTAACTCATGGCATATAACCCTTTTAATACACTTTTAACTTTAAATCAACCCTTAACTATTCTTAATAATAACAGTAAACCGTACCGATGTTTTAAAGTAAACTCTCCTGCAATAAGAATTGAAAGCAGTGTTGAACTCAGCAGGTTGAGCTGAGGGCTGCACCAGCAGTGAAACGAGATGTGATATTACTCCACGTCGCTTTTCTTTTGCTATGTTATCGCAGTCTGACGATCAAAGCTGCTACATGGTTTCTGTTGATGCCTGCTGCGGTTAAATGACAAAACACTGAAATCGATTTATTTCAATGAAGAGGAAACATTACATGGAATACTTAATTGTGCAAGACCTGCAGATTTCTGCTGTTGAGAAACGTAAAGATCTGGATAGCGATGACCTTTACTAGTTATCATGCTGCGTTTTATTAACCACTTTTTAAATAAAACAACAAAATTTGCTCCTCGACTGACTGTTGAAGTCCATGTCAGTAAACCTGCACAAACTTGATTTGTTAATCGCACTTAGAATGGATTACAATGTTCCACCATCTTTTCACCACCTTATCTTGCATATTTTTGTGTAGTCCAGATTGGAATTTTGGAAAACACATAATTCCCATGGACTTAAATGCAACAGTAACATAAGGTATTAACAGTTAATGTTGTGTGATGTGACCGGAATGTAGAATAAGTCACAAAGGTGGTTCATTAGAAAAACAGTAGTATTGTGTGAATCAATGATTTCATGATATGTAACTCTGACAGTAACTGACATAATGCTTGAGTTTCCTGCTGAC